TGGGGGTTAGGGGCATTGACGTTGCAGTCAAAAATCCACATATAACTTTACAGTAGGCCCTCTGTATCTGTGGTTCTGCATCAGTTGATTCAACCAACCACAGATAGCGTAGTACTAAATTGCATGTAAGTGGGCCTTCGCAGTTCAAACTTGTGTCATTCAAGAGTCAGCTATATAGTCATTTCACTGGGTATTAAAAAGAATTTCAATTTAGTTTTAACTTGTATTTCCCCAATGTCTAATCAAATGCTTATTTGCCATTTATATAACTTCTTTTATTAGGTATTGGTTCAAGTCTTTTAATTATTATTTTAATGAGGTTTTTGTCTTTTTACTATTAAGTTGTAAGAGTTCTTTACATTATTTTAAATATAGATCCTTTGTCTGATATGTCTTATATTTTCTCCTAGTCATTACTTTACAATTCATTTTTAATGGTGTCTTTTGATGAGAAGTTTAAAATTTAGATATAGTCTAATTTATCAATTTTATTCTTTTATAGTTGCTTTTTGAAACTTGTATGAAATTTTATCTACCCTAAGTTATATATTTCCTTCCAGAAAGTTTACTGTTTACATTTAGGACTATGCTATATCTCAATTTAATTTTCAATATATGGTATATGATAGAAGTTAAGGTTGTTTGGTTTGTTTTTCCATATGGTTTTGGGAAGATTTCTCTTTCCCCACTGAATTACTTTGGCACCTAGTTAGGTCTATTTCTGGATTTTGTTTTTCTTTTCCATTTTATCTATTTGCTCTTATGCCTAAACCACATTGATTTCATTATCACTTTATCTAGTAGTTCAGTCTAGTTAGTGTATGTACTCCAACTTCATTCTTCTTTCCCAAGAGTATTTTGGATACTGTAAGTCCTCTGCCTTTCAAAAAATTTTTGAAAATCAGTTTTTCTATTTCTTTAAAATGTTTGCTAGAATTGAGAGGAAATGCATTGAATCTAAAGATCAATTGGAGAGAACTAACATTTTAATATAGAGTCTTCTGGTCCATAAGCATGCCCCTATTTATTTAAACCTTTATTTTTCTCTAAGCAACATTTTGTATTTTTCACAGTAGAAATCCTGCATGTCTCTTGTAAAAATCATAAATATTTTATTTTTTAACATAATAATAAATGGAAAAAAGTTTCAATTTCTAGGTGTTTATTGTTAAAATGTAGAAAAATAATTGATTTTTATATCACTGATCTTGTGCTCTGCATCTTTGCTAAATAATTTTGTTTTACAGCTTCCTTAGGATTTTCTATGTTCATGATCATATCATTGGCAGATTGTCAATTTTACTTTTTCCTTTCTCCTTTCCAACATTTATGCATTTCCTTTCTTTTTAGTGCTTTGTTGAATAGAAGTTGTGAAAGGATGAATTCTTGCCTTGTTCCTCATCCTAGAAAAAGTATTCAGTACTAAGCATGGTATTTATTAAGTTTTTCATAGGAGTAAATTCCCTTCTGTCTTAGACTGCTGACTTTTTATTTTATCATGAATAGGTGTGTTTTGCTTAGAACTATTATCTCCTTTAGTATATACGTATGTATGTATGTATGTATGTATGTATCCATCCATCCATCTATCCATCCATATCCAGGATTATTTAATTGGGCACTTAAATGCCAGGTACCAACATTAGCAGAAAACAAATGTCAATGTCTCCACCTAAAAAAGCCTATAGTCTCCTAGCTTACCTCTTCCCATAGTGTTTCTCTCCCAACTTTGTAGATCCACAATCACAGATGAAGACATCTTTACTGGTAACAGATCTTATTCTCAAGCATAGCTCTAGCAATAAGCTGATATATTCAAGATTCTTCGGTATCAGACACAGCAAGGAAAATTCAGGCGAAACCAGGTCCTAAGGCTGCTGTGTTCCAACACTATCATGACTCCAGAGTCCTCTTTCAGCAGAAAGCTCAACTTTGGCCATCATGGAATCTTCCTCTGGCACAGCTAAGAAATGGCAGGTACAATGGGAACTGTCTTTTTCTGAAATGTTGCAGATTGGTTACAGCAAACAGAACAGCAACCACCCAGGAAAACTGTCACTCTTCGCTCTTTTTCTTTTTTTTTCCTTTTTCAGTTTTATTAGGTATAATTATTACAGTTTGCACATATATATTATACTGCAAGTAAATACATGTATACAATATACTACACATTATTTTTTTAGTTTACATATATGTACTGATGATTGTTTCTAAGAATAAATTAGAGCTTTAGCTTTTTAGCCCTACATAGTTATCAAAGGAATAAAGTCAACCACAAAATAAGAATCAACAGAATGCAGTAGTCCAATCATAAAGGACAATAAAATGTGCTTACACATATTCAAGAAATCAATCAT